CCCTAAACCGAAAACCCTGAACCCTAAACCCTAAACCGTGCTCCTTAAAAGGGGTCCTTCACGGGTTTCTTTAAAGGTTCCTTTAAGGTCTCCTTTAGGGTTTAGGGTTAGGGTTTAGGGTTAGGGTTTCTTTAAGGTTCCTTTAAGGTCTCCTTTAGGGATACCTTGAGGGGCTTCCCTGAAGTGGGTCCTTCTGGATTTTGTCGGGGCCCCAGAAAGGTTCTGCATCATGTTTGTTTAGGGTTTAGGGGTTTAGGACTAAAGGGTTTAGGATTTAGGGTCTACGGTTGAAGGTCACCGGTGAAGGGTTTAGAATTTAGGGCGACATTATGGCGGCTTAGTCCGTCCATCGAAGGATCAGCTTCTCTTTGCCTCTGTATCGACTCTTATCGCTTGCATAGATACTTGTGATTTCATGATTCACCAAATACAAAAATCGCTAAACCCTAAACCAGCACCTGTCACCTAGTCCTTCCGCGGTCATGACCCTCCAAGTACAAGGCTACGCACCAAGACTTTCTGAGAGGCAGTACGGTTAATAGCTGAGTTAAGTCCTAAACCTTTGTTGGGTTTAGGGTTCAGGGGTTTAGGGGTTAAGGGTTTATGGGTTTAGGGTTGAGCCCCCTTGACGACAGCAAGTTCAAATTGTCCGATAAACTGAACAGCTAGGTAAAATGGCGGGATTGCATCCTTTGTCGTTCCTTAATCATATTATTACCCTAAACCCTAAACCCCAAACCCTATTCTGAATGCGCAGGCCCGCTATCAAAGTTGCAATCCAAATCAAATAACCCGGAGGGTCTATATATACTACCCTAAACCCTAAACTCTATATAAACCCTAAACCCTAAACCCTAAGATCCCTAAGCCCTATAAACTCTAAACCCTAAACCCTAAACCCTAACCCCTCAACCCCAAACCCTAAACCTTACATAAACCTTAAACCCTAAACCCTAAACTCTAAACCCTAAACCCTAAACCAAGGGTGGAGCGCTCCGGCCCTGCTTAGCACTTCGCCCGCGCCTTGGGCCCCCTGGGTTGATCCCAGCGAGCACCACATTCCGGAAGAATGGAGGGATTGTAGGGTCTAGGGCTTTAGGGGTTTAGGGTTTTAGGGTTTCGGGTTATAGGGGTTAGGGTTTAGGGTTTTAGCGTTTTAGGGGTTTAGGGGTTTTAGGGTTTAGGGGGTTTAGGGTTTAGGGATTTTAGGGTTTAGGGTTTGGGTTTAGGTTTTCGGGTGCCAGGGCCAGGGTGTTCTTGGGGGGGGGGGTCCAGGGTTTAGCGTTTAGGGGTTTGGGCACTTTCTTGGGGAAGAAGCCCTGGGTCTTTATAGGGGTTCTCAATATGGATCCTAATATTTTGGGGTTGCAGGACGCGGGCTTCTTGATCAGGTTCCTACATTGCCAACTATAAGCCCTAAGCCATAAGATCCCGAACTTTCTTCAGGGAGCAGTTCATAGAATAACGCGATCGCAGGTATAGTCATTGAACTAGGACCCTAAACCCTAAACCAGGAGCCGGTAAGGCTGACAGAACTATGAAGCCTTTTCTTCAGGGGCACAGAACCCTGTAAGGCATCTCCTTCAATCAAGGCGTTTAGGGGTTTAAGGTTTAGGGTTTAGGGGGGTCGCTAACTGAAGTTCAGGTTTGAGGTTTCAGGGTTCTTTGGGGATCGGAGATTCCAACCTCCGGGTACGTTCTAGGGTCCATTCAGCCTCCTGAAAGTTGGTGTCTTTTCGGGGCTGAGGCTGTTGGCGGACCACACCTCCAGGATCCCCGAACAAGTGTGCAGTTAACATAGAGTGTGCTGAAAGCCCTGCAAAACCCTCAAAACGACCCGGACAGCATTTTAAGCCCTCCGACTCAGTGTTTTGGACCCTGTACGCCCTAAGCCCTAAACCCTACAAGCCCTATAACCCCTAAACCTTAAGCGTTTTAAAACGCCCTAAACCCAAAGCCTTTAAACAAAAAACTAAACCCGAAACTTTTTAAAACAAAGCCCTAGACCCTAAGTTTTTTTCAACAGCCCTAAAACCCACAGCGCCTTCCACCCGGTGGGTTGCTTGGCTCTGTTTTGACATGAGAAGAGGCCCTACCAATATCCCTTGAGAACGGGCCTCTTAAAGGGATCTATAGGGGTACGATAAGAAGTATGGAAGAAGCACATGATAGGTAAGTTAAAGAATCAGTCAGCCAGTCTGTCTGTCAGTCAGTCAGTCAGTCAGTCAGTCAACCGACCAACCAACCAGCCATCAAATCCATCAGTCGGCCAAGCAGTCAAAGCAGGACTTGTAAACCCTAAACCCTAAACCCTAAACCCTAAACCCTAAACCCCTAAACCCCTAAACCCTAAACCCTAAACCTTAAACCGTATACATCCGTCCATCCACAAAGCCAGCATTCAGCTCTTGACTGAACCCTAAATCAAAGAAAAACCCTACAACACCCCTTGTTAAAGCTCCTATGTTAGAGCCCTGACCCTAAACCCTGAACCCTAAACCCTAAGCCCTAAACCCTAAACCCTAAACCCTAAACCCTAGACCCTAAACCCTAAAACCCTAAACCCTAAACCCTAAACGCTAAACCGTCTCAGAGTCCTGCGTTTGAAGGTCACAGGTTTTCGCGCCGGTCGTGGTCGAGCTGGACCTCACCTAGAGTCTGTTTAGAGTTTAGGGTTTAGGGTTTAGGGGTTTAGGGTTCAGGGTTTAGGGTTTAGGGTTTAGATTTTTTGGCTAAGGGTCTAGAATGGTTTAGACTTGAGGGTTCAGGGTTTGGGGTTTAGGGTTTTGTTTTTGAGTTTTAGTGTTTCGTGTTGTCCTTGTGTTCGGTGTGAAGGGTTCGAGTTTGATTAGGGTGTTTCCTTTCTTGTGAATTCCGGGGTGGTACTCTTTTTTCAGGTTGAGGGTTGGGTTTTGGGGTTTTGGATTTCGCTTAGAAACCAACAGTACTATAACCCTAAACCAAGCAAAGCCTGCACTCAAAACCCTTGGGTTGAGGGTTTAGGGGCTTAGGGATCCCTTTCGGAAACACGTTTCTTCGTAAACCCAAAAGCTGCTCGACACAAAGCCCTACACCCTGACGGTTTAGGGTTTAGGGTTTAGGGTTTAGGGTTTAGGGTTTAGGGTTTAGGGTTTAGGGCAGCCCGATCGCTGCCCGTGAAAACTAGATCCTAAAATCCGGAAGCCTACACCCTAATTAGGCCCGAAACCCTGCGTCCTAAACTCAGAAACCTACATCCCGAACTAATCCCTATAAGCCCTGAACCCCTAAACTGAACCTCAAACCGACCCCTAAACCCTAAATCCTAAACCCTAAACCCCTTAACCCTTAACCCCGAAACCCTAAACCCCTAAACCCTTAACCCTCAGCCCTAAACCCTATACCCTAAACTTAAACCTTACACCCCATGGATACAGGGCTGGTAGGTCAAAGGCCGCAGCCTTTGAACCGAGCCTCACTCCAGAGCCCGAGGAAGATGAGAGTTAGCTTTTATGGGGTTTGGGGGTTTCGGGGTTCAGGGGTTCAGGGGTTTCGGGTTTCGGGGTTTAAGGTTTAGGGGTTTCGGGTTTAGGGTTTCGGGGTTCAGGGGTTTAGGGTTTCGGGGTTTAGGGGTTTAGGGGTTTAGGGGTTTAGGGTAAGGATTCTATAAGGGTTTTAGACGGGTTCGTAGCCGGGGTTACTGTAGGGATCTACCTGCGTTGTGGGTTTCGGGATTTTGGGGGGTTTGGCGTTTTGAGGGTTCAGCGTGTTTCAATTATTTGTGCCCTGATCTTCCTCTAAACCCGAAACCCTGTACTTGCAGGTTCATGGGTAGTTATAAATAGAGTTATAAGTCCCCTAATATAGGTTATAACTACAGTTACCCTACTTATAACCCCACTTATAACTACCCATGAACCTCCAAGTACCCTTAGCCCAAACCCTATTTTTAAGGTTTCTGACCACGTCAACCCATGTGCAGAGGACTCACCAGGGAGCCTGGCCGTGGCTTACCGGACGAAGGATTCCTGGCTTTTCCAGTTTTTGTTAATAAGAGGTATGTAGCTGTGTCCGTTCATAAACACTTTGTTTTTTAGTATGGGTTCGTTCCAGGATGTTCGTCGGTTATAAGCTTGTATTTTTGTTGGGATGCCAGCATTTAACTACGGTCACTCTGGCGTGGGCTGCAGCATTGTTTAACATTGGGGTGTGTTCATTAAGTGTTAGAGGTTCGGGGCCTCGGTTTCAGGGTTTAGTTCAATTCAGGGCTTTGGGTCGAGGTTTAGTCTCATGATCCTCGTAATGTCTTAGTAGTCACCGGTTGCGGGGAGGGGCACTTGTGATGCATCCGGCAGTTGAAGAGGCCTGGATGCAACAGGAGAGCCTTCAGACGCAAAGAGACCGAGTTCAACACACCGACAGCCATTTTGGCTTGAAAGAGCCACAAAACGCACCAGGGCTCTGAGGTCTCCAAAGGTTGCACCCATGTTCTGTGCCTTGACCTGGGTTCTTCTTCCCGTGGCGGTCGCTGCAATCTCTGACCCGGGTTGGGAGGCCTTCAAGCAGAAGTTCCAGAAGAGCCACTGGGTGAAGGAAAACATATACTTCCACTTCCCCTATTCCGAGATCAGGTTATCTGAGATAACAAGTATCTTCACCATCTAGAACCAGAGCTCATCATTATGCTTGCCATGGCGACCTGAAGCCCCGAACCCTTAAATCCTCCGCGGGAGTCCAACATCCTAACTTACAAAAAAGTTCAGCTCCACGACCTGAACCCACAGGCTATTCCAACACGGACGAGGAGTCGGCCCGCTACCAGCTCTTCAAGGCCACGCAGGAACGTGTGGATCGCCTGAACAAGCTCAATGGCGAGCCCGCCTTCGGCATCACCTGGATGGCTGATCGTCATGAGCAAGAGAAGTACCTGGGTTCCTTTTAAGCAACTTTAACCAAATCTGAATCTAAGAAGGGATAAGCAGAAACTGGTAAGCTTTCCCAGTTACAACCCAGGTACAAGAGGGGCTTTCGGATGCCCAAGGACTTCGAGCCCGTTGCACCGGTGCGGAACTTCTCCGATGCCACGGCCAAGGCCGTTGACTGGCGGCTCACTGA